TCTTAAATCAGTTATCTTTTCTCTCTCTCTCTCTCTCTCTCTGCCTGTTTGAACTTAAAAAAGGTTACCAATCTGAATATTTGTATATAATGTAGGGATGTGTAATCTGCTTGACTCTTGCTATTGGGTGGGCTTTTGCTGCTTATGTCAGGTACATGGTTTTAACGATGAGAATTTAAACAGCAGGATGCCGTGACTGTTCCAAGTTGTCAACATTACCTAGAAAACTTGCCTATGTTTATATATACCTACACTTTTTACCCTTCACAGGAACAGAGAGATCAATCGAATGAAAGATGGCATGAAAGGCGGCAATAGCTTTGCTTTTCTGTGCCATGATATTAATGAACTTGAGCACTCTAATCAGGTCAATCTACCAAGAGTTTCAGTCGTGATGCCTTTAAAAGGTTTTGGAGAGCATAATCTACACAACTGGAGGAGTCAGGTGAGTATTTAATGGTAGGCATTCTAGCTAGCACTTACCTTGAGTTGTCTTCTCAGGCATGCTAAGCATGCATTTAACTTTTCCGTAGCCACATTTTGTTCATTGGAAAATGGAAAATTTAACTAAATTTCCTTTAATAAGTGTTAGGCATATTCCCCCTGCCCTGTTTTTTAAATTTTGCTCTACCAGAATTGATTATTTTAAAATATTCATGTTTGCAATAAGTAATTTTCTGAAGTATTTATTTCATACTTATGGAGACAGATTACATCTCTCTATGGTGGTCCTTTGGAGTTCCTTTTTGTGGTGGAAAGTACTGAAGACCCTGCTTACCATGCTGTATCTCGGTTAATAACAGATTTTAAGGTATACCACAAATTTGCTTTATTCTGTATTTTCTGATAATATTAAGAAAAAGAATCTGACAAAAGTCAAATATGATTGTTAATTACTGTGTAATCCTTTATTCTCAAACTTCCAAAATACTCAATGCTTGTACTTTGTTTTATATAAGTGTTTGAGGACTTCATTTGAGCTTATTCATTGTGCCTTCACTTCTTGCCTTCCTGACTTCGTTGCATGTTTCTCTGTGCAGGATGATGTTGATGCTAAAATCATTGTAGCTGGTTTATCAACAACCTGTAGTCAGAAAATACATAACCAGCTGGTATATAACAACTTTACCAATTGTTAAGCTGATTCTGTAAATAACCGGCCTTGAATATCTGTTATTTTTCTGTTAATATTATTGTTTAGACTACATGTCTTGCCACTCTCACTTGTACTTAATGAAGACTTACTAAGTCTTAGCTGAAGATGTCCTCTTTCGCTAATCCACAATTATTTAAAGTTAGTCCTTGTATGTTGTTAAAATCTCTCTGCTAGAAGTGTATTCAATATAGTGCTTAACCATATATTTTTTTGGTATTTTTTGTGAAGGTTGGGGTGGAGCAAATGCATAAAGATGCCAAGTATGTATTATTTTTGGATGATGATGTTAGGCTTCACCCAGGATCGATTGGGGCCCTCACTACTGAGATGGAAAAGAATCCTGAGGTGTGTTTCTGTACATCCATATACCTTCAATCTAAATAATTAGATTTTTCTGAACCTTTACATGTATCTGTTATGCTTATGGTGCATAGAGTGTAAACTAGTGATACTTTTTGTGGTACTCATGTTATTGGAAGTAATGTGCAGATATTTATTCAAACTGGATACCCTCTTGATTTACCATCTGGAAGTTTAGGGAGTTACTGCATCTACGAATACCATATGGTATGGTGCCATCTATGACTTATTCTTTCTTCCTGAGATATTGCATTTACCTGACCATATCTTTTTTTATATGGATAACTACCATTGTTTTTATCCGCGAGAGCAGGGGAAAACCTGCTATCAAAACAACAGTACAACCAGAATCAAAGAAATTAGTGGCTACACCCTATGTTAATGGTTGAATTATTACGTAAAATCTGATTAATGCTGGATTCAGGCACTCTAATAACTCATTCGTATATGGCTTACTGTTTTATTCATGTTCTACTGCCCAATCTACGTTCAACCTTCAATTACTTCACAAGCATTATGCTAGCTGAACAACCCTGCGCCCCTCCCAAAAGATTTAACACAAATGCACATCAACAGGCAAACAGTTCTTATTGAAATATCACAGCAGCAGCAAGTTGGGAAATATCAGCTCTAATGTGTTAACCTATTCCATAGCCCAAAGTTCAAACAAGAATCCATAGCCCAAAGTTCAAACAAGAATAGAGCCCTATAGGTATAGATGGTCAGTTTGGTGTATAGGGGGATTGCCTCATCTCTCTCTATTATTTGAATTTGGCCAAGAGGTGAAGCTGACCCCCCCCCCCCCAACCCACACTGTAGTTCACAAGTGGAAAAACTTTTGTTTTTTTGTGTAACTGTGCTCTACCCGTTGATATTGCATGTGCTATTTTAATCTTTCTCCAATAAGTTGGTTATTGCATCCTTTAATTCATGTACTCATTGAATATTTCTTTTTTCTACAGCCTTGCTCAATGGGATTTGCTACTGGTGGGAAAACATTTTTTCTTTGGGGAGGGTGTATGATGGCAAGTAGTTCCTTCTATTCTTCTCAGTGCTTCCTGTGCAAAATTAAAGGATTATTTCTGATTCTTCTAGATTGTTTTTCAGATGCATGCTGATGATTTTAGACATGACCGCTATGGTGTGGTCTCGGGACTTCAAGATGGTGGATACTCCGATGATATGACTCTAGCTGCTATAGCTGGTAATCTAGTCTCTATTATATCTTTTAGTAGAGTAATAAGAAATTCAATATTTCTATTGATGTTAGAATTACTGCTTTGTAGACTCATACACTTGCAATGTTTTAACTGCTCATTTATTGTCTCTTCATAGGAGCCCACAAGAGTCTTATTACATCTCCTCCCACAGCTGTTTTTCCTCATCCTCTTGCAAGTGATCTTAGTTTCTCAAGGTTTGTGATTTTTACCCATTAAGCTTTTCTATTATAGTTATATCTATGGTGATTTTGACTTCTTGTCCAGGTACTGGAATTACTTGAGGAAGCAAACATTTGTTTTAGAATCATACATAAGCAAGGTTAATTGGCTAATGAATAAAGCACTGTTTTCATCCCATTGCTATCTTTCATGGGGATTTGTTGCGCCATACTTGATGGCTATGGTTCATGTTGCAGCAGCACTACAAATCTATATGAAGGGTTATTCATATGAGGAAACAACCTGTACAACGGGTGGTGAGCACACTATTTTTCCTTTTTAGTTAGGCTGTAGCATTATTAATTCAGATGAAACCAATGTCTCAGGTCCTGATCTGGATAGTTATACAAGTCCAGTGGTTATTTTTGAGTAACAAGAGTTTGTTTTTTGTCTTTGGCTGAGACAGTACTGAGTTATACTGATAATTTACAAGTTCCACTTGGCCCTCAACATGTTGGATTTTTAGTAATTTAAACACACTTGTATATCAGGGTTGCATAACTGTTTGCACTTTGGCAACTAGAAATGCTGGTAGTAGCCCTTGTCACGTAATAGAAATTTCTTTTTCAGTTGTATTTTTAGGTTGCAGTTAGTCTGGTAAAGTACTCAGTCTAACAAAATGGAAGCTAGAAAAGTATACTATGGTATTAAAACTGGAATTAGCTCCTGCAACTAAGCAAACTGTGTTTGCACAGGATTGTTACTAGCGAGTTGCCTAGCTATATGTACCTTTATGGAGCTACTTTCTATGTGGAACTTAACAAGGATTGAAGTTCAACTATGCAACATGTTATCTCCTGAGGCACCTAAGCTCTCACTTGATTATTACAACTGGAGCATGGTAAGTACCTCTCTCTCTTTAGTCTGAGTGATGACAACGAGCTTTGTTAAAGTTGTGTCATTCTGTTGTTCCCATGAAACTTGAGTGCTTAACTTGAGCATTGAGACTTCCATTTTTCATTGTATATCACTTATAAATTATACATAAATGTTTGGAGTGATGAAGAAAAATTCTGGTTTTTTTATCCGTTTGAATGCGTTGTCTAGAATTCTAGAATGCCTTCAGACTAAAGTAAATTAGTAAAATATAATCAAGCTTTCAGTTAGAAAAAAAAAAGTTTATATTTAAATCGGCTTGATGTTTTTGGTTGGATTTAAAGGGCCTGAATTTTGACTTGAAGCCTGGTCATTATTTGAGCTAGAGCTTGGATATCACAGACACTTATGAGTATTTACTAATGTAAATAAGTTGTTTTGTGATTGGGCAGATCTTTGTTGCAATGCTGGTTGATAACTTTTTGTACCCTATATCTGCTATCCGATCTCATTTCTCTCAATCTATCAATTGGTCTGGTATTCGTTATCACTTGAAGAATGGAAAGATAAGCAAGGTACGTCAGTTGAGCATAGCACTTAAGCAATAATGATCAGCTTTATTTATTTGTTCAAAGCTTAGGAGTATTTGCCTACGCTGCAGATTGAAAGGAACAAGGATATGGGTCCAAAGTTCACAGACCTGGGAGGGAAGCATTTATATGGGAAAAAAGGAACTTCTCCCAAGGCCTCATTCCTCAGCTCTTTGGCGAGAAGTTTGGCTCAGAGGCGTCAACCCAAGAAATACGATGTCTAGACTCTAGAGATAAGCTTTGGCGCAGAGAAAGTTGTGACCATTTTGCGTCTCCTTTTCAAGACCCGATAGACAGCAAGTATTCTGAAGCAAAGATCCGGTCGTTGATTGTTGGTGCATTATTTGGTGATTCCTTATTTGATTGATTTTAGTGGTTTAGGAATTTTTGCCTCATTTTTTAGTCGCCAATTCAATCAATTTATTCTTAATTTATCAACCCTAGTCGGGGCTGGTTTTGTAATATGAATTGAATTCTCCCTGTAATTTTATAAATCCTTGCATACAGTTATTGTTCAAATGTGAGACAGTAGTGTTTGTGATTCACAGTTCTCTACAATCAGACTCTGTGGAGTGGCCGTTCTGTTTGTAACTGTACAATTTCCATTGTTCTTGTTTTTTTTTTTTTTCCTGTTACCAAAATTCAAGCATATTAAAACTCTTTGCCATGGCAACCACAGATGACAAATGCATGTGGCAGATAAACTTCTGAATCAGAAGATGATCAGAGCATTAGATAAATCACAGATTAATCAGCGGATGAAGAAAAAAAAAAGTTAAGCACCAGAATAACTGCCAAGTATTTCTCCTTAAAAAAAAAACCAAGTGTGCACAGCACATGACAATGTTAAGACTTGTAAAGCCACCAGAAGAATATTCTTAGAAGGTTCCCATTTTGCTCTCAATTTTACAACCCAATGGTGGCAGTTGCTTGTAATTTACTTCTGAAGAACTCCAATGTAGAAGTCATCAATCATGTCAAATACTCGGGTAGCATGCTGCGGCCTGACATAGGCAATAAAAAGATGGAAATACCAAATAAGTTTGGATGTATAGAAGAGAACTTCAATCATGTTAATAGAGAGTAAACTGAATAAGAATATACTATTTACAACATGGTTTGGAAGATGAAAAATGCAAGGATTTTATCCTCATTTGCCTGTTTTATGCATAAAAACCTAGCTAGACATACATAAGAGCCAAGCCCAAGTAAAAGACGAGTCAAGCTAACTAACTCCAGAGGGATAGAAGAGAAAGAGGCAACATGAAATTTTCAAAATTTCCTGAGTTCTTCCAAATGAAAGGAACAAATGCATACCCATAAAACCCTTCAGTTGAATCATCTCCGGCATGCGCCAAGATGGCATCACCACCTGGATGTTCCTCTACATATGAGGAAACATCATAAACCTGCAGTTGTTAAATATAGAAAGAAATGAACAACAGAAGCGAGATATCTTAGTATCTCAAGGTGTTGTAAGTTCCAAAAACAGCATCAAGCCAAAGTCATCAATTACCTTGTCTTTAATGATGATCCAACAATCAGTCCTCTTATCATGTAATGCGATTTCTGCCTTACTGTAGGATTTGGATGCCTACAAAAGAGTTTGGAGTGAATTTGCAAACCTCCACTTTAATAATGCAACTAAAGCATATATGAAACACTGTAATGTATAACTGATAAACTGATATGTTAGATCATGCAGTGACCCCCAATAATTTCAAATCCATAGATTTGCTTGGTCATAAACGTACAAACTCTGAAAATTGAACTCTAAAAAACAGCAAAAATGCGATCAATTTATTTCGAAGTTACCAAGATTCATAAATGTACCTTAGAATTGTTAGCATTTGATTGAATCTTGTTTGTATGAGCTGCAATGAAACAGAATATCACCAATCAAAATAATCTGCAGAACTATTTTTATTTCATTTATTTCTATCTGCTACTACACTAAAACAATGTAAACAAAGAGAAAAACACACAAATTAAAGACTACCTGATTTACCACGCCGGGGTATCAAAATAAAAGCTCCAAGTAAGACACCCAAAATCAATGCTATCACGGCTATTGCCATCTCTCAGAGTTCAGCTTCTTTTTACTGATGAACCCAGATTTATCCCAGCAGCAATTTTAAACAAAAATACAAAAATGAGAAAACTCAAATTTGAACTAACTTCAACAGGTTCAAGCAAACAGTTCATTACGAAGTGGATGCTTGAATGTATGTGCTAAGAGAAAAAGAGGGTTTTTGGTAGCTGAGAAAATGAGAGAAATGGAAGGGTTTTTCCAAAGCTAGAAATGAATAAAACTCTCAACTGCGAATGGAAAAGAAGACTCAAAAGAGAGTAAAAGCTAAAGCTTTTTTACCTGGAAAAGGGATTGGAATGTGGGTAGTCCGGAGAATGTGACCAGTGGAGTTGAGCGGATTTGCCGATGAGATCCTAGCGTAGAATCTTTTTGCTTTGCTGCCCCGTGACTTGATATTTTTCACGTTTATCGCTTTCCGGCCGGGTCAAGTCCGCCTCTGGAAACGGATCGGGTTAACGGTTGATTATAAAGCCAATATAATCCCATAATTAAAAGGGTAAACTATTTGTTTAAGGGAAATACTTAAATTAAATTTTTAGGTAAAATTTATAAAATATTTTTAAAAAATAATTTAATAAAATTTTTAATAAAAAATTTAAATTTATAGATTAAAATAGTTTAACGTGAAAATTAATAATATATAAAAAATTATTTAAAATATTAAATATATATAATATATTAAAAAAATTTAAATTTTTTAAAATTTTATTCATTTGATTTATGCAATAAAATTTTTTAATTTATCATATTTCATTTTTTTTTATTTAATCATTTTTAATATGAAATTTCATAAATTTTATTTAAAAAATTTCATTTAAATCTTTTCCCTATGTTTAGTGATTAAAATTTTCTAAATCTTTTATTTTAGCCATTTATTTATGAAAAACCATAATTTAATCATTTATATTATAAAATTTTATTTTTTTTCACCATTCAACTATTAGAAGCAAATTGTTTAGTTGAAGTGACATCATCTCCTCATTGTCATATAGTTAATATTATAATTTTTTAAAAGACAAAATTTATATATTAAAAAAAGATAAATTATATGTTGAGATCATTTTGGCCAAATTATGTTTAGCTCACTTACTTTTTAAAAAAAAATTATTCTGATTCCTTAACTTTTAAAAAATTATAATTTGATCATTAACCTTTATAAAATTTAGAATAATAAATTATTTTATTATTAATATTAAAATATCTTTATATAATACTCAAAAAAATCTGAAACTTTATAAACAAAATTAAGTAAAATATTAATATTTTAATACATGATATTAAAATTATAATATCAAATCGTAATTTTTTATAATTGAATGATCAAAATTTAAAAAAATCACAAAAATTTTAATGACTAAACATGCAATTTACCTAATTAAAAACCTACGAAAATAGGATTTTCGTGCATTAACTTTTAGCTTACGAATGATTGTTGGAAATTAAAAATAAAAAAGTTATCCAATGATTAATTTCAATAACTGTAAGTTAAATATTGATAATATCAAATACGAAAAAAAAACTTAAATATATATATAATTATGTAGCATAATTGATAAGCCAATGATAGAGTTCCCACGTGGTTCAAAAAATGCAAAGTATAAATTGCCTTTCACGCATTAGCAAAGAATAGTTTAATTGGTAAACAAAAATTTTCGAATTTCAAATCTCCTTTTCCTAAAATTATTAACTAGTTGATAAATCATATGTCCAGCTCTGATTTGGCATCCACCGAAAGCAACAGTCGAAGCGAGCCTATCTATCCATTAGGAATTAGAATAAAGTTACCAAAAAGGAATCCATCATAGCAAAGTTTCCTCTGTTGCCCAATTACCCTTTTCATCTTTCTTTGTTCTTTTCCCTTTACTTTATATCCGAACTTGTTCCCTTGAACAAAAAGATAGCAAACTTAGCTGCAAGAATAACAGAAAAATGGGTTGTTTCAGGCCTAAGAGTTCCAAAACTTCGGCTCCCATGCAGCCTTCCTCAACTGAACCTGTTCTTGCATACCCGGAAAACAGGAATCTCAAACTGGAGGTTCTTTTGCAGATTCCAGGATGCACAGTTCATCTGATGGATGAAGGAGAAGCCTTGGAACTTGCCAGGGGTGAGTTCACACTTGTCCGGATATTGGATGCTGATGTTCCTCTTGCTACCATTGTTAAGGTTGGTGAGGAACTTCAATGGCCTTTGACAAAAGATGAGCCAGTTGTTAAGCTTGATTCATTTCACTACCTATTTTCCTTGCCGATGAAAGATGGGAATCCTCTGAGTTATGGAGTGACCTTTTCGGGGCAGTATGGTAGCAACTTGGGCTCGTTGGATTCGTTTTTAAAGGAGCACTCATGCTTTTCTGGTGCAGCTTCAACTGGGGATAAACATGTTAATTGGAAGGAGTATGCCCCCAGGATTGAAGATTACAACAATGTTTTGGCAAAGGCCATTGCTGGAGGGACCGGCCAGATTGTTAAAGGAATCTTCAAATGCAGCAATGCTTATACTAGCCAGGTTTGCTTTTGAACGTCAACATTAATCTAGCCCACACATGTCATGTCATGTCATGTCATCCTCGTTCAAGATAGCTACAGTCGGAGCATTTAATCATCTAATGAAAGTTATCTGAAAATGGAAAAGAAAGTACTAAGTTTAGGCATGAGTAATACACCTACAATTATTCAATAAACTTGCATTTTTACGCCAAGCTAACCATAAGAAAACATTCATTGCAAAAGGTAAAAAAGCCTGGTATATAAGTTTTTATATGCTCAAAAGGAAAAAGATTTGCCACGCTTTGAATTGCCTTGGTTAGTCAATCTAAAGAAAAGAAGGGAAAAAGCAGGTGCAGAAAGGAGGAGAAATCATTTTAACGCCAGCAAGTAATGGCTACAAAAGCAGCGGGGCCCCAAGGAAGAGTAGTGGAGCTAACAAAAGCCTAAAACGGTATCCCAAGACAAGAAAATTTCTTTTCAGTTATTATATGAGCATGACATAAATTTTTATGAAGTCAAAAGTTGTTGCCTCTGAGGTACTGTCTATTGTGTGCAGTGTGAGAAAGCTGTCGAAAATGACTGAAAAGCTAAGCAAATCAATGCTTGACGTGGTTGGTGTGGCTAGCGGAACAGTGATGGCCCCCTTGGTTAACTCCAAACCTGGGAAAGCTTTCCTATCCATGGTTCCAGGAGAAGTTCTTGTAGCTTCCCTTGACGCTGTCAGTGAGTAATAAAAAGCCAAATATTGCAGTGGTTCATTTCTCTAAAATTGAGAATATAGTATATAGCATTGTTACAAAATAGTATGACTTCTGATCATCTCACTTAGTGGAAAAGTGTATATATGGTGACTGCATTGTCCATTTCGTGTATTGCAGACAAGGTTCTGGATGCAGCTGAAGTTGCTGAAAAGCAAGCTTTTTCTGCAACATCCACTGCAGCAACCAGAATGATGACTGATAGGTAATATGACCCAAGAAGCCATTGAACATGCAGCACTTGACATTTACATTCTCTCCAAAATTGAAATACAGAATTTTCTTTTCCCATTTATTGGATAATATCTTTGTATCTTTATATACATATATATATATATATTTCTCAATCTTGATTCCTGTTTATGGTTTTGAGAACTAGGTTCGGTGAAAGAGCAGGGGAGGCCACTGAAGATGTGCTAGCAACTGCAGGGCATTGTGCTAGTGCTGCTTGGAATATCTTCAAGATAAGGAAGGCAATCACTCCTTCATCCACAGCCAGTGCTGGACTATTGAACAATGCAGCCAAGTACAAAAGCAGGAAATCTTATAATTAAGGCTCCTCTATTCGAGAGATTTTATGATCTGCAAACGAAAAAAAATATTTAGAAGGCTATAATCTATTTTGTATTGAAACTGAACCAAATCCTTTAAGTGTTCTAAAGCATGTCATGAATCTGTGTGTATTTTCCAATAAATCTTTTTTTTTTCTCAAAAACTGAAGCACTTTTTTGATAGTTACATATACCAGGCAAGAGAAAAGAGTTATTATCTGCAGAGAATAGCAGGTGTGAGGTGTGCGTTATTTCCATTGCCATTGAAATGGTGGTATAACCAATTTAGTTAATTTCACTTGTTTGAAAAAAAAATCAAATTTAATTCTAATGATGCAAATATCATAAACAATTTGACCAAATCTTCTCCATTGTTTTTCATATTTACTCTTGAACCACAACAGTAGCCTGTAAATCCTAAGAGTAAAAGTGAATCAATCATATAAAATTTGTAATTTGTTTACTTTTGTTTAAATTATTTATTGATATAAATGAAAATACTATTAGTAAAACACAAGATTTCCATCTAAATCCTCTATCACTCTAATTTAATCATGTGGCAATTTTTTGTTATTATATTAATTACTATTAAATTAAATACTACTTTCATAAGTAGAAAAATGACTTAAATATGAAAATTTTGAATTAAAATTAAATAATCATCTAAATTATTTATTATTTTATTATAATTAAACTCTGAAATAATTATTTTCATTAAGTTGAATCTTTGATTGGATGAAAATTAATGATGAGAATTAACAAAATTTTGTCCAACAAGAGTTTTATAAAGTAAAAATAAATATTTGATAGCTCAATTGATTTATAATAAAATAATAAATATTTGAATAATTTTTTTATTAAAAATTTGATTGATTATTCAATTTTAGTTAAAAAAATTTTTTTATATACTTAAGCCTAAAAAAATAACAAATTTATCATCAGTTTTGGCAACTGCCCTTAATCGGCCCAAAGAGGTTCAAAACTGTTGCGTTTTGGCTGCCCACCGCACTACTGTAACGATCCAAAGCCAAACGGCAGTCGTTTCATCATATCAGTTTTCCGTTATGGGTTACCATCACCTACCATTTCATCAGAAGATCGGTCCAAAGTACATGTAACAACGAAATTGTGTTCTGTCTGAAAACCCCAAACCCTAATTGCCCCAAAAAAAAAAAACCCCAAAAGAAAGAAACCAAAGCACACAAAGCCCTACAATGGAAAACGAAACAAAGCTAAGCATATACAGAGCAGCAAGGACAATAAAACGCAAAGACAACACTCTCTACAACGCACTTAGATCCATTTACGAGGACTCAATCTTTGTCGGCGAAATCTCCCAGCTGTGGCCTCAACTTCCTCTCGTCGCCAACCTCCGTTGCGGTCTCTGGTATTCTTCCAAATTTCAGTCCACTTGTTACTTCAAATCCACCGACGGTCATAACAATAATTGGTCTTTCAATACGTCGCGTCTCAACTTCCACATCGCCCTTCTCGCTGGTAAAATTCTCATTTTTTTCCTCTTTTTAAATGTAATTTGAAATGATTTTTTTTTTTGGGTTTTTTGTTTTTTAATGGTAGGACAGAAGGGAGGGTGTATTATAATTGATTCGACGCGGAGGGGGAAGCGGTTTCCTGATAGTATGTCGAAAACTATACCCATTTGGACGTGTGTTTTGAACCGCTCCATTTGTAATTATTTGAACAAGTTGTGTAATGACGACGCCTCATTGGTGGAGCGGGTGAGTACCGGCAATGTTCTCTGTTTAAAGTTTCTTAATTTTGTCCAACTTTTCATCATTTTCTATCCTTGGGTTTCATGTAAAATCAAGTGTTTGAGTTTTCATAATTACCCAAATCAATTGCGAGCAATTTTTTCTCTCCCCCCCCCCCCCCGCCCCCCTAAAGAGCATCATTCATGATATGACAAGCACTTGACTAAGTGTTAGGGCTGAGACTGCATTTATGCTTTTTTGTTTTGGGTATATGTTACAGAGGAAGCTACCTCATTGGTTGAAATTGACTGCATTCTGGTAGAAGTACTTTCTTGTTCCTGTTTTCTGACTTGCTTCTCTGCAGGAGTCAGATGCAGGGCACAATTCTGTTGATTGGGATTGTTCCTTGCACCTTCCCCTTTGGGTTTCCGAAACAGAGAAGTCAGCTATTGAGGACCGGTTAGAAGGATGGACCAAAGACCTGGATGCAAGTGGAGCTGATATTGCGACTCTTGCATCGTGCTTAAAAAAGCCCTTGCGTCCTCTATGGATTTCTCACAAAACTGTCATCTGGATAAACGAAGTGCCGGATTATGATTCTTGGGATTTCACACCAATAATTCTTGTTTCTGCCTCTTCCTCGAGTGGAGTAACTCAACATAGGACTACCTCAGAGTTTAGCTGGAATTATATACCAGGAGCTGGAGATGATGAAGAAAGCTGGGCTAGGGGCTTGTCTCCTAATCTCTTTTGGAATCATGCCTATGATCTTATTAGCTCAGGACCTGATTTGTGTAACCAGAAGGTTGCTGATATAGTTGAGAAGGACAGAGTGTATCGTGCTCAAAGGGGGCAGAATGCCCCTCAGATCACTGCCAAGCCCTCAATATCTGGGAATTCACCTCATCTTCCTTGTTTAGGCCCCCTATTGTGTTCAGATCTTTCAAACCTTAAGATTATCTCTTCTGATGAAGGATGTGGAATATTTTGGCTAGGATCTACTAATCTTGCTCTGGGCTCATCTCAAGTTGGTATGATGCATTAGCAATTCCTCTCATTGGTCATTCTATTATTGCTACTTTCATTTAGTTCAATTTTTTTTTTTTTTTGTGGATGCTTCCGTAAGATTGCTCCTTTGGTAAAATTTGTAAGAAGAAACACTCCAAGTTACCCACATACACACTAAAATCAAACAGAGTAGGTGATGTATTTCAGTCTGTCTATCTGATAAATTTATTTCAAGCACTTGTTTAGTCTTTTCCCAAATATGAGATTATGTTCATATTTCTGTTGATTTCATTGGTGAACTAGCTGATGGGGGAGCTTAGTTGACAAATTTTCCTTAGAGTTTGTAAGTATGTTAATGGATGTTATCTGGGAACTTGGTGTCTGCAATAAAATTCCACATAATTGAACCTTTAGGACTGAATCCAATGTGATACAGATAAGTATGTTGAATTCTTTGAAAAGTAGAGAAATTGGTTGTCTGTAATGATAGTGATGATGACATGCCAAAGTTGAGGTAATGGTGGTTGCAGTGTATGTATTGGCCAGACTAGAATCATATCTTTGTTACTTGTTTGTTTCTCTTTCTATCCTATATATCAGTGACAATAAAGCAGTTAGAGCTTTGTGTGATTTTCATGTGCCTTATATTTTGTTTTACTTATGTGGTGCAGCTGAAAATGCATCTAACGTTGATTGCATATTGAATTGTGATCAATGGTCAAACTTTGTCTGTCTTAAAGAGGCTGAAGCGAATTTGCATCTTCCTATTGTGGTCTGTATGCAAGTAAACTGAAACCTGGGTTTGTTAATAATCATTTTTGTACTTTTCCTGCTTACTTTTGCTTTGCTGACCAGAATTCAAAGTTGGATCGGTTTTCCTTGTTTAATAACCTTTCTTCTGCGGTTAGCTTCGCAAAATTAAATCTTACAAAAGGGAGAACACTTCTTATATGTTGCCATGATGGTAAATCTCACATGCCATTTTCCTAATTAAACTATCTTTTATCTTCGCAACCATCTTTGGTCAAGCTTTTTATCTTTGTAATTTCATGGGAAATAAAATGGATTGGTTTGTTTGTATAGCATTGAAGTATGCTCTAACATGTTGTTATGCATTTGTTATCAGGGGAAGACATCAGTGTATGCGTTTGTCTGGCAATCTTGATATCATTGTTTGATGATGAAGGTATGCTATCTTAAGACTAACCTATGCAATAATACTTGTATCCAATTAATCTATTAGGTTCAATTCAACCTTTTGCTTAATTATGTTTGCTGCCTGCAAAAATGGATGACTGATGAAATCTCTTTCCCTCTTAAGGTACTAGACGAGTTTGTTTTCTTGATGGTTGCCTTGTGGACTAAACTTCGTTACCCACCCCTAAGGAATTTAATCAGGGTAGAGTTGGTGCATCTAGAGAAGAAACTGGAACCAAAACTGAAATATTGACATTGTACCTGAAACCAAAACTTAATATTCCCATGCATGATAGATTGTTGTTAGCATCCTTCTTTTGCTTTCTGACTTATAAGTTTTTGGGTAATTTCTCAAGTTTTCACCCTCTTTAGGGTCCTTTGATGGTGGCAAATCCTTCAGTGAGACATGTATCACGAAATGTGAGATGCGGCGACGACTTGTATATATTTGTAAATTTGCAATAAAGGCCCGGCCATCAAGAGGAAACCTCAAACAAGTTTTCAGTTTTCTTAATAGTGGAAAAGTCACCTAAGTTTGCAGGTATTTGATCAGTTCTCTCATTATATATTTTACAGTGAAATGATGCTGACTGGCAGAATTATTCTTCAAATGTAGTTTTCAGGAGAGCCAGAAGATCTTTGGTGAAAGCTGAAAATTTTGCACTGATATTTTACTCGAATATTTATGTGGTTTTATGTACCAAAAGAAATTAAATGAATATTTCAGTAAAGTCAGAAAGGGAATATTATAATGTACCATAAAATTAAGAAGACAGACGAGAAGATTATAACATTTTTCAACCATTTTTGTAATAGACTATCGACTATGGTATCAAATCTACCTTTTTTTTGTTTCAATTTTTTTCCTAGCTATAAGATGTTTTTATTGAATAATCTCTTCTCCTTTTCGATGTTATTTGTTTTGGAGCTGTCTCTGGCACGTTGTTCGTTTTCAGAGTTCCAATCTGAGTAATCTGTGTTATAAATCCCTCATCAAACAATTAAACAAATGAAATAGTCTCTAAATGCACGTGATCAACTTGTTGCATGGCCATAATTGGAAAGCACAATGGAAAGAAAATGAGCATGCATATATAAAGTAATTTTAATCTTAGTAGTTGCCGTAATTCAATATTTAAACAAATCAGTTACATTAATGGTGCCACAATGCGACAGACTTAAAAAAAAATATTAAAGATGAAAGACCAAGACCAAAGGGGAGGCAGTACTTCACATTTTTCTTGATGTAATGGAGATTATAAGCTTTTGATTTTTGGTTTTTTTTTTTAAGGGGATCGAGAAATGATAGAGACAGTTTCTTTAACTCCTGTCTTGTTTTGCAATGATCTAAACACTAGTGATTTAACTTTTGTCACTGTCTAAAAGGAGAGGACCCCATTTTCCACTGAAGCAATGCTTAAGCCTAATTGCTTTGCCATGGACAAAAAACGAGGTCAAGTCACAAGCTGGCTGATCACAGGCAAAGAACCAGCAAGATCATGCATCACCTCCACTTTCAACCTTTTTCTCTTTGGATCCACCAATTATGCCATTAGTAATTCATTAACAACACTGGCGTCAAATTGTGTTAGTGATTAAATTAGTGGTTGGCATTAAATTAAAGTGAAGATAGGTCCCATTTTCTTAGTTTAATCAACTATACCCTGTCTTATCATCTATTTAATCATTTTTTCCTTTTTGATTCTCATTTTGTCAATTCAGGGATATTTTCCTTTTATGATATATATATATATATAGATGGAACATTGATTTCGATATTTTTGGTGCAATTATTAACTTTTTTTTTTGGAATATGGTGCCACACCTGATCAATAAAGATGTAGAATCATTTAAAATCCCAAACGATCACTAATAATAAATTAATAAAAATATACATATTACTTTGCTTGGTTTTAATTTTATTAATTAATGATCATTAATTTTTTTCATAGGATATAATTGTCAAAATTAATTCATATAAGATACAACAAGACGGTGCATACAAAAAAAATCACATTTTAGGTCTGATGATAAATTCTAAAAAGTTTCATAAAGTAGCTAAGCTTGCAAAGTTTGCCATAGTAACATTAAAAGGCACTCCCTTAGCATTTGCGAAATCAAAATTGGTAAATCCAATTGTTAGAGGAAGTTCAAAACACATGACTAATCTTGAAATTAAAACTTAATTCCGGCCACCTACTTCACCTGTCATTGGAGAAACACCCACTTTATTTACTAGTACTAGTTATATAAAATTAAATACAGTGGTTTAGTAACGAATTAGCCAACTTGATTAAATTAATAGTCACATACTAATTACACACGCCAAAATTGTTTTTCACCCAGTTCCTAACATATATAATAATTGTAATGCTTAAAGTGACTTTTTTTCAGCAACTGGTTGCCTGATCTCCATGAATCATCTAAATCTTTGGTATTAAATTCCATTCATACTAAGTTAGGCAGATATACCACAAATTCTAGCTACCTCATGATCCTGAATGGCACATATGTTTAATATGTTTTATTGCTCATCGTTAGAATAACATTAATAATCTCCCTCCAAAATTGGCCCCCCTGGCCTGTAAAATACTAGGAAAAAATAAAAACAATGTTGGGATTTTATTATTTTATGTTATTTTTAGGTTTGGGTTGATTGTTGTTTGATCTGTTTAAAAAAGATAAAGCTTTTGAGTTTGGCCTCAATTGATATATAAATATATATATATATATATATATAATAAAAATAAACCCACTTTGTCTCACAAATATAGTTATGTATTAAGTCCACTAATTGAAATTAACACCCTTGCAATTTCCATGTAGTATGATTGTTAAACTAACATATAAATCAACACTGGTGATTGGTTAATTTAATTTAATGGCTAATCTTGTTAATCTATATATGTTGTTTGTAGAGACTTACATTTAATTTATGAAGTATTATTTATTTTAATCTGAAAATTTTACAATTTTATTATACAAAATTTTTTCATAAATTTGAGTTTAAACCTTTATTTATATATCATAATAAAATTTTAGATAATCCTAACATAAAATTAGGTGTCACACTATCATTGAAAATTAGCACGAGAAGAGGGACTAGGCTTATATAAAACCTCACCAAGTTCACGCCGAGAGCACCGGCCTTCAAAAATTCTTCTACGCACCACCCTAATTAATTAATGTACCATCTAAATATTCCCTTAATTAAATATATAAATATATATATAGTCTAAGAATATCAATTCATACAATCTAAATAGCATCCTATAAGATCTTATTGGATTGGATGGAAATGCTGGGGGGGGGGGGGGTTCTTGGGAGCAAAAAATCTTGTGTTAATTAAACAAAAAAATCTTATTCTGATACGAAAATTTCGAAGAGGAAAGATGGAAAATGTATTTAAAATGGTGAAGGGCCAAGTGCAAGAAGTTGGACTGTTTAGTGGCATATGCAATGGCTTCTAATTTGAACTCCGAATTGCAACATAAGCCAAATGCTTTAACCACATTGCTGGCGATAAAGTAATGGGATTTGAAACAGATTTTGTTGTCCTTTATTATTCTAGGAAATCTTCACGTAATCAAAAAGAAAGTTGGAGGATACAAAGGAATATTCTCGCCCTTTCAGCTAAATATGTTACAATACATCATCATTGGAAGTTATGATTGTCCAGGATTTATGTTTCGGAAATATTTAGAGAAATGCACAATAATTTTGGATTCAAACAAAGAAAAACGTCTTATTTGCTTGACTTCATCAATATTCCAAAAGTAAAAAAAAAAAAAGGCAGGTCCAAAAAAATTAATTTAGAAAACAAAATTGATATATATATATATATATAGATGAATTTGCTTATATCATGTTATAAATGGAAGGAAGATCTCTTATCTCCTGGAAAGAAGATTCTATCTTTTCTCGTACTTCTATTATTAAACATTGATATGCTCTTAGTTGGGTTAATCAATCATGCATTACTATTATAGGACATGCTATAAGAGGCAGTTGCAGTGATGTTTAGCATTAATTGTAGGTTGGAGAGCTTAGAAAAAGTGCTTTTGCCAATTTAAACTGTAGCACAGTAACTAGCTAGCTTGCAAGAAATATGATTTTAATTTAATTCTTATGTATATATATGTTATTTCATTGTGTGTGTGAGAGAGAGATAAGAGAATATGATTACAATAAGTCCAGCAATACATCCAAGAATATATGATGCTAATGCCAGCATAGGATCGGTGCAACCAACTGACTGCAATTTGGCTAAAGGAGTATGTGCTTTATATTTAATAAAAAAACAAAGAAAGAAAGAAAACCCTGCTTTGCTTTAGAAAAAAAGGGAACCCGTCAATTTTTTAAAGAGGAAACTTTTTATTTTCCAGCTGGTCATTCCAGGAGCTTTTCTTCTTTTCAATTCTTTTAACCCTTTTTAACTTTAAGATTTAGAAATTATGCAATCTAAGTTATGTTGATCTCTACCTTTTAAAATGATGATCTTGATGTAGTAAAATTTGAAAACAATTGGGACTCCCACATTGTTAGATTCATGGTTATACCAAACTAAGGTAATATCTACAAAAATTCAGGTATATATATTTACTAATGATCAGTAATGGATTGGTGCATGTCTTTTATACTCTAGTTGTTACTATAATATTATATGCAGCAAGCCAAATTGAAATTGGAGTTGGAACTAGAAGCTGGAAGTCTACTTAATCAAATCTTTAATAATTGTATAATTATTAAAATTCAATTTGTAATATATAAAATATAAACCGACAATACTAAAGACATGTGTTTAAAGTAATCTCACTTCACAACAGGATTAAACTAAACCGTAAAATGAAAATATATAGGAAAAGAAAGGGAACAAGAAAAAAAAAATGGCCCCACATTAAGGGATGCATAGTCATCTTTTCTTGAATTTACATAGAAAATGGTTTATCCTTGCTCGCATGGTAATGAAAGTAACAACCACCAACACCATAAAAAGACTATCTTTAACAACCCCACAACAAAAGGCTTTGGAAACATATGTAAAGTTGGCTACTTCATGGAAAATCAGCAGACATCATTTTTTACTTGCATATATAAATACATATTCAAATGCTCCATAAGTTTGGTAGAGCAAATCAAGTCCTTTTATGTTAGATATATGCTCACTGCTTTTTTTTGCTTTTCTTTCTTTCATTATCATATCGCCTTTCTTGACTGGTTAATTTGCTTAGGACATCTAAAAACTTCTTTGAAAACTGAGGTTCTGATCAGAAGGGGAAAATGGGTTCTCCAGAGAAGAATGAGTTAGAGGAAAATGGGTTCTCCAGGGAGAAGGGAAGAAAGCAAAATATGGGCATAATTTTCAGATATGCTGATTGGGTTGATGTTGTGCTAATGGTGTTGGGTACTATTGGAGCTATCGGAGATGGAATGTCAACATATTGGTTAATAGTCTTTGCTGGCCGCTTAATGAACAGCATGGGTTATGGTAATACCCCACAAAATAATAACAATTTCATGGAAGATGTCGAAAAGGTTAGCACTTAATTAGATGTTATTAGTTGTAACTTAGAACAGGTAGTCAACAATTTCATTCTATTAATCTTTTGTCCTGCTCTTTCTGTCTCTCATATATTTCATTTTGTTTTTTTTACTTTGTTAACAGTGCAGCTCATACTTTACATACTTGGGACTAGTAGTCATGGTGGTGGCTTTCATGGGTAATTTTCAGGAAACAATATCAGTTTTCACGTTTTGTTTAGCTTTATGAGGACAAGGGGAGAGTCTGGTACTAGTTAAACCTGCAGTCAATTCACAAACAGGAGGGATCCGAGGAA